TCAATTAAGGAATTCATATAAATATTACTATCCTGTATATCTTATTTTTTGTGAGATACGACTTGACTATTGGAGTAAAATAACCTAATCTTACCTAGCCAAACCTGACGGTGTTTCATTTGAGAGTAGTATAAATACAATTGGAAAATATCACTGTATAAAAATGACTTATATAATGTTTTAATATCAGAAAAAGTTAAGTACCATAATACTTTCGCATGGTATTTGCGAGATACAATCATACTTAAAACCCAAAACCCAAATGTTGACGTACTTAGTCTGAAGAGTAGAAAAATTAATTATTAAATTATTATAATTCACAACATAATAAATTATTGTTTACTTGAATATCCTGAGAGACTTCAGAATCCGATATCGAAATTATTATTTCAGAGACAGTCGGTCTTACTGCTACCTGGCTAATCATTTTTCGACGCCATTTTTTTCCAAAATCATCTTCATGGTCATATTCACTCAGCTCCGTAGATAAATGAAAAAAAATGTTCAGTGTCAAAGAAATAAACCCTAGTTGAAACTTCATAATGACAAAAAATTAAAATTACAAACGAGTGGTTTGAACAAAATGTACACGCATAATATTTTAAAACAAATTCACACTCATCTAGGCCTAAAGTACAAACATATTTTCATATTCAGCTTTTGTATGTGTTATCGTTAGCATGTATGATCGTGTTGTTTTGTACAAATTCGCAGTAAGTCAACAATAATGACAATTATTTAGGTCACCTATGATCCAAGTAATATGTTTTCCGTTAACAATAGTGTAAGAATTGAATCTGATATAATAATTATTGTAGAAATAATCACACGCTTTTCAAGTGGTTACCTAAAATACAAACATAGGTAACATTTTCGTATTCAGCTTTTGTACATGTTATCGTGACATTGTATGACCATGTTATTTCGTACAAATTCCCTTTGAGTCAACATTAACAAAAATGGTGTTTAATAATGGCACCTGCGATACATGTGTACAACTACGTCATCTTTATATTTTTTAAGATAAACGTCCTTTTTTGGATTAAAACGAGTGAACAATTTTACAAGGTTACCTATGTTTCAAAAAATATATTCTTTATTGACATTAGTATAACAATTGAACCTTATATTATTTGTGAAGGAACAATCACACTTATTTTAAGAGGTGAGTTGAAGGGGTATTTTTTAATCATTGACCCATTAAAATAACATTTCCGTATGATTTCTGATCTATAGTTTTACCAGACACAAATACAAGAAAAGGTTAAAATAAAAGTAATAAAATCACTTAAAATTAAAACGCTTTGGTGCTAATTTGTAAACATTGCAACTCGCTTAATGTTATGGATACATATGTGTTTTAGCTCATGACAAATTTTTAACTAAAAGGTCCTAAAATTACGGTTAAAAAACAAAAAACCTTGCAACTCCTGTGGAGGGATGAGAAATGGGTGTGATTTAAATTTGATACTATTGACCTATAGGAACATAACAAATAAGTATTCTTAAAAAATTTAACTTGATCAGACCATTTTTCTGGGAATCATAGCCAGTAAGAGTTAAATTTTTTGAAATAACATTTTTTTTACAAATTTAAACTGTAAAGAAGTGAACTTATTCTAATTTTACCACCCTCAAGTACCAACATGACAAAATTTGTGATAAATAGAGTTACTACTAGAAGGAATTGGTCAAATATTAAAAAAGATACAGTGTAGTACGTTATTTCTAAATACATTTTCTTATACGTTTGAAATATAAAACGAATATGTGTCTACTAACTATTATTATATGATCGATATCTCCAATTTCTCTGCTGTCAAACTTTGATGAACTCACTGACAGTTAACGTGCTAGTGTTTAAATTTATCTCATTAGGTCAATGTAGTTTGTTGGAAACTGTTTTATCATAACTCCCCTACGTTTATATTAACAAATTTCGTTACATTTTAGATTACAATGTAAAAGATAGGAGAGGGGTAACTGAGTCTTCAGAATTCCCATAAAAAAATACTATACTACTTCCTATATAATAATTTTTATTCCTTATTTTCGTGATACCTATTTGCCTATTGCGCGTGCAGTAATAATATCTTAGTGGGGATCTCCCAGCTACTTTGCAGTAATCGAGCTTCAATGCAAGAGGTATCAGCACTGGATGATAAGATAGCAAACGACTTGGCGGTATATGTTATCAGACGGGGTCAGTTAAAGGCTCAACTGACGAAATTTAATTCGTTTATAAATGACCCAGATAGTAATACCAACCTAACGCAGGTAAAGTTGCGAATGGGAAAAATAAATACGTTATGGGACGAGTTTGATAACATCCAAAACAACATTGAAGCATGAGATTGTAGTACTGGAAACTTACAATATCGAGATAGGTTTGTGGATTTGCTCTTCGACTCAATGGCAAAGACTGAAGACAAATTAAAAGAGGCACGAATAAATTATATACCTCAAATACCTCAACAAAATAGTGGTACAAATCAAAATGACAATATCTCGTTTGTCAAATTAAAGCCTTTAAAATTGCCAGGATTCAAATAAATGGTCTGCATTGCATGATATGTATTATGCTATGATTCACTCAAATACTTCGATTACAAAAGTTCAAAAATGTTATTACTTGAGGAATTCGTAAGCGGAGATACAGGTGAATTAATACAAAACTTGGAAACTACAGCAGACAACTATGAGGCAGCATGGTCAATAATACAAATGTGAAGCTGATTTTTATCGTTATGATATTTCAGTTAAACTTTATTTATAAGTAATAATATTCGTTTTTCATTTATCTAAGTAGGTCGACGGGCAAGACGATATCAAAGAAGAATCATTTCAAAATAATACTCATAAAAAATTATATGAAACAGCTGTAATCAGACCAACTGCCTGCAAAATAACCCCGGCCATATCGAATTCCATATTTTTCGAGATATTCAAGTAAACAATATTATATAATGTATGAGGCACATAAAACCAAAACTGTTTAACCCAGAAAAAATGTAATGCCGTTTTTTTGTGATAAAATGTTTTAGAATGATATGATATTTCAAAACTATTATGGCTCAACCTTCACAAAGATTTTTCCTGTAGATGGCAGCACTTAATTTGTTTTGGCTTTGATACTTAAATAAATGTTTGTAATATCAAAATGGCCTCTACGTTGGTTAACGTTTACAGATGGTTTAAAAGGCGTGAATTTATACATACTAAAGTGAGTTTATTATATTACCTAGAGTGGATTCCCACTTTTGTGGGTTAAGCTGTTTTGTTTCTATGCGCCTCATAGATAAGGATGAGGAATATTTTTAAAATACCATTTGTTTATACTATGTTAATAAATACTTGACGTTGAATGTATTGACATTTATATATTCTTTTAAATAAGTAAAATAATTATTTAATTTCAAGTTTATGATGAACAGAGCAAATTTTTAGACACAGACTATTATCTACGACTGTTAAAATTTACAATATTGTAATATTTTATCGTTTTATCTTCTATTGATATAATAATTGTTTCGTGTCCTTAACTTTATTAATTATACTTTATTCGAGTAAATAATTCATTTGTATTCAATTTTGAAATATTTTCTTTACCGGTTTGATAATGATATTGTACTTGTGAATTTATAGATCAGAAATCATACCTGAAAGATATTTTAATGGGACAATAATTTAAATATTCCTCCCTTCTCCCAACCCTTGAATGACAAGCTAAACATGTGATTATTTCTTCACTTTTTATTTCAGATTCAACTTTTATACTTATGCAAACGCAGAAACATTTTTTTGGATTATAGGTGACCTTATAATAGTATTGTTGACTTATTGAATCCGAAAAAACTGTTGTACAATACACCTAGTCTATACCTACACTTGCCCGATAGGTGCCTTGAAGTGTACAAAATTGTGGTTATTATCGAATCGTAGGAATTTTGTACCAAATAACATGATCATACATTTTAACGATACCATATACAAAAACTAAATACGAAATTATGTGTGTATTTCGGTCGAGGATGAGTGATCTTCTTAGCTCAGATAACAATATTGTGTGTAAGCACCACTGACACCATAATGTTATTTTTGTTTAGTAACTTTAATAAAAAATTCTTTTCTTGTATTAGAGAGGGCATTGTTATTTGTCAAAGAAGAATGAGCGGTTGCGGTGTGAACTGGTCTAAGTCCTTTGCTGATTTCCTAACGCCCCGCTTAATATAACAAACGATTAACGAAAAAATTAATAACGACCATCACCTTATTACTTGAAAATAAACTGCTATCATTAGATATAAATACTTTCACAACCATGTCTTAAGTCCAAACCCTCTTATTAAGACCCCGTCCTCCCACACGATTCCTGATAACCCTCCTCGCTGCCAAAAAAGATCCTGATGTAGAGATCTTCTTTAACAATAAAAACAAATGTTATTTTATATGTACTAGTATTTTACTCAAAAATGTTATATAAACGTAATTGTAATTTAATGATTATTATATATTTTATACACATTGTAATTTTTACCTAATTAAAAAAAATCTGTTTATTAATTAATTAAGCTAGATTTGCTTTAGGGTATAATTTTTAAAATAATTTGTATGTAAACAATAGTACTACAACGGTAGAACTGTTATTGTAACTTGTTATCGTTTACCGCAAAAGGTGGATGTTCAAAGTTTAGCTATTATGTTTTAGTGGTATTATTTATGTCACAATATTAAGAAAAAAACATATTCATCTTTTTATCTTGAACTTGATTTATTGTTGTATTTTCAACAACAAATGTTTTATTAATCGTTATTAAAACTGTTTATTTTTACATTCATCAAATTTATTAACAACGTTATTATTACAAAGTGTGAAAACATTTAATTATAATGGTCTTTTAAAAATATGTGTTCATACAGTATGTATTGAAGACTGGTATAATATATAAATCTTTAATGCTAAAGTATGTGCTAACGACACCGTTTATATCTGTTAGTGAACAAACTCCATATCTATCGACTTTAGCTTGTCTTATAAATTTTTTTGGGTACTCCATACTTTTGTATAATCCTATTAAATTACATATATCAGAAAATTGTCCGAATCGTGCATTCTCTCCAGCTGAAACAAATGTATGCAAATTTCACTTATTTCATGATACTTTTCTTCATTTGCAAAACACAACTTCAAGTGTATAATAATTATTATTTTTTTCAATTGGAAGAACACGGCTAACAATCATAATATTTTCTACCTTGTTCTGTGTAACATTGTGGTTGATGTTGTATAATAAGTAATGAACTAAATTAAAAAATGAAAGTCTTCTACTGAATATATGTTAGGAACTGAGTCCAATCAAGTATCCATTTTGTGTGAGTTTTATACTTCTTTTGTTAAAAAAAAAAAGTATGTTACTGAGATAGTTATCGATATCTGTAATTTAATATGATTTAACGATTTTTTTTTTGTATTAAGATTAATATTTTGTACAACCATTGAAGAAGTCATTTTTTTTTTACTTTTTTAAATTTAATTTGTTTTAAGTTGATTAAACAAGTACAGTTAAAATTATTACAATTAGTTTATGTTAGGTATATTATATATGTTATATACCTATGCATAAAGAGGTAAAAAATAACTAAATACTTACTTTTTACATGATGGATTAATAACGCTGTAGATTTCATAGTCATCATTCTTCTTCGTTTTTCCAGATTTTTTAGTAATTCTCCATGCTCTACACAATTTTCTAGATCGGAAAAAAAAAATATATATATATATTTCAACTAAATATTTCATAAATGATTGTAATTACCTTCGCTCGTCGGAGTTACATCAGCTGTAACCAAAATATAAAATTTTAAAATACTTATACGTTTAACATTTTTATTTTTATTTTTCATACATAACAATCATCCTATATTTGATAATATTTAAACGAATAAATCAATGTAAAATACATTCAAAACAACTAGTAGCCATGTTCGAATTAACTATGTTTAGAACGATCATCGAAACCTTAAGTTGAAAAACATACATGAAAATGACTTTTAACTTCAATTAATTGTACTTAAAACTAAACGTACTATAATCTAATTTAATAATTGAATAAAAATGTTAAATTTCTATATTTAAATGTGGAAGCCCGTAGTTTTTCATGTACACATTTTTGGTATTCTATCTTTTCTAAAATTTAAAACAAAATACATTTTAATCTACTTTATTAATATGATAGAAATCAATTTTAAACTATTACTCATAATAAATTAAATAATTTACATGGATATATATATATATTTACTATGCTATATTTTTACTATGATATGTGTAATTTTCTATGGGATTTTCTTTGTCTTCTGAAATTACAATAAAAACATTTTTTACGTCTTAGTGGTCTATCTTCTTTAAAATTTAAAACAAAATAAATTTTAATTTACACAATTTATTATGACAGAAATCATTATGCAACTCTGTGATTATACTCAATGTATAAAATAGTTTACTACTAAATATTTACGTTGCTCTATGTATTCTGCTATGTCTTTGTTTTTTACTTCTGAAATTAAAATAAAAACATTTTGTACTTAATGAATTTCAAACAATTATGTGGAATTATTTCCATAAAATATGCTAAGAATATTATTACCCGGTACTACAAACATTAATGTTAATTCCGCTAAAAATAACATCAAGTAATAAGAAGACAAATAATATGTTTTATAAGTTCGGAAATAAGGTGCTTGGATTTATTATAATAAATTGAGTGAAGACCATGTAAATAAAATGGCCGAATCGAAGCAGATGTGGCGAGTAGAATAAAATTGTATGATTAGGTGATGTTTAAAGGAGCATCATTAGCACTCTTCACCGTTATTTTTATGTTTTTGACTTTATGATTATGATTACCCATTGTAAATTTTCCAGAAAGAACAGCTTCTTCAATTATCGAATACAAAAATTTATCTAGAATGACAAATAATAGGTTTAATTATACAAAAGCTAGAATGTACTTAGAAATATTTTAATTTAAAATTTAATTTAATTATCTCTGATCACAAAAAATCAAAGACATCATATTTTAGGACTTAATTATTGAAAATATTTTACCTCTTGTGTGCATTATCTGGTGGTCTATAAAAAAATTATAGACATAAGTAAATCAAGAAAAAACAATTATTTCGTAAGAAAAATATTTTTACTGACTTGTCATCAGAACATGCTCTTTATATTCATCTGTAAAATAAGTTGAATATTGAATTATATTTATGTATTTCTACTCTCTCTTGTGTATAAATAAAAATTAAAAAATCACCCAAAACGGCCGAAACATTTGTCAACGCAAATGATATTAAAATGTATAAAGTTATCATTTTCACGTGCAAAAATAATAAAAATAATAATTATATACTTTCTGAACTGAGCTGAGAGAACTATTCAATCAGTTTGTTCAACTTTTTCAAAGTGATTTTATTGTAAATTTTGGATGGGTTCTATGTGGACCGAACCAGTAAAATCTAAATGTATTCGACGGTTCCCCTATGTGATTACATTTACATAGCTGTATTCTTTTTACTATAATATCATATGTACAACACGAGTTCAGATTACGTTTTATTATTTGTTGGTTTTAATAACACTTGCAAAATTAGTGTTTACATTAGTTTTACATTTTTTTAAGTATCATTATTGGTTTTTATGCAAAATTCGTATTCGCTGTAAAATTTGTAACAATAGGTAAAGCTATCAAGCAAGCAAACTCAAACTATCAGAAAGACAAATAATAAAACAACATTTGGCCAAAAAACCACTTGTTTTTTATAATAAAAAAAAAAATAAAATAAGCTAGTAGAACAATAAAAATTGTATTTGTAAAATACAACAGTTGTCTTAACGTAAAAACTTAACAAATGTATGGTGCCAACAGTTTTTTGTCTTTTGTCCACATTATCAATCGCTCATTTCAGTATCATTCAAATAACATTTCTGGACCTATAAAATATGCTTTATGAAGAAATAGGTTAAGCAGTTTAAAATATAATATCGTGGGTCCAGACACAAAAAAAAAAGTTCTCATCGAAGCTAAAAAGGGGATGAAATCACTTTCGAATAAACGCTTCGATGCAAATCTGTGGATAGGAAGTTCAAACCAGTACAGTCCAACTCAAGCACAGTAAGAAAGTGAGGTGCAGTGTCCACAGATCGGCATCGAAACGTTAATTTCAATGGGGTTTTATCACTTTCAGTTATAGTATTTTCTTGATGACCCGTGACCTCCCCGTCCCCACTATACCACGACCCCACTATACTAGATATAATGGTATGAATCATCAAAACATATTTTGTTTTTCATTTTAATGCTTAGGTATACACGTTTTACACACAATTGTATTTAACTGCATTATTTATTTTTCTATATATAATATAGGGCATAGCTCCACATATGACTATTATTTTAATAGTTTTGTTTTTTAATCGACAATAAGGAACGATCTCTCCTTGACACTAAAATCCTATAATAGTATAAAATCCTTCAATGGAACTTACGAAGCATCCGTTCCCGTTCAATGGATTTAGGCTCATTTCTACATACCGAGAAGATGTTCCTTCGCCTCGTTTTCTGAAACAAGGCTTCGGCCTGGTGAAAAGTTTTCCCTACCTTTCTTCCACCTCTTACGTTCTGAACGGATCGACGGTTACGGTGGCGCTGTCATTGCCGTTCACCACTACCATACAGACCAAACACATTACGCTTGAAGCCGCTTTCATTGAAGACTTACAACGCAATTCAATTGACCTCATTGGTACTGAAGATTTCATTAGCTGCAATACCCAAATTACATTTTGGTATATAATTATAACTACTTCCTCAAGCCGTTCACCTACTTTACTTCACTCGAAAATACTTCCGGCAATTTAAACAAGTTTCATCTACAATCTGAAATAGTTTTTAGTCCAGTCTTGATTTCGTTAAAAAAGAAAACAATGTATAGACAAAATCTAAGCACTCCGACGTTTCATGTCATTAAATGTAGTAATTATGTCCAAAAAACCTCAAAAATAGTAGTACTAAGAGTTGTAAAAAATAATTGAAAAATGCTTAACTATTGTCTTAGAACTTCAACATATTTTTGCAAAATAATCCAGATATTCATAAAACAGTTTTATATACAATGATGAATCAACTGTACGAGGGTTACGAACAAATTGTTATATTTTTTGTTTGACAGGGTCGAAGTTCAAGCATTTCTAAGATTCTTGGACTTGGTATTGGCCACTTAATAAGTTATGCACTTACGTGGATGCTATTTGTGAGATCTAGTTAATTTGATCATATCTAATTAATGCAATAGATAGTGTATAATTTGAGAGTAAATATATCTATAGAAAATTGATCAAGTAACTCGGAAGGTATAGTACTTACTTTTCTTATTTTTTGTCTGACTAACAATTGCTCAGAAATTATACGTGAAAAATATTTCGATGGGTCAACGGTCGAAAAACTGTCACCCTTCCCCCACCTCTTGAAAAGCGTGTGATTGTTTCTACGCTTATTATATCAGATTCAATTGTTGTTATTGTTGACTCACTGCGAATTTGTACAAAATAGCATGATCATACATGTTAACGATAACATGTACAAAAGCTGAATACGAAAATTTGTTTGTATTTTAGGCGAGGATAAGTGTGAATTTTGTTTTAAAATATTATTCGTGTACATTTTGTTCAAACCACTCGTGTATAATTTGAGAGTACTATTGAATTAAAAAAAATAATAATTTATTATTATGTCTATTACACTAGGATTTATTTCTTTGACACTTGAGTGCATTTTTTATTTATCTACGGAGGTTAACGGTTATGACGATGTTGATAATATTCGAAAACAAGGGCGTCAACAAATGATTAGAACGGCTGCACTAAGACCAACTGCCTCTGAGATAACCATTGCGATTTCGGATTCAAATATTTCTCGAGATTTTCAAGTAAAAAATAATTTATCATGTTGTGAATTATAATAATTTTCTTATTTCATATTCTATACTTCAGATTAGGTACGAGGATTGTGACAGTTGTCCCGTAACTTTGGTCTTGATTTGGTTTTTGTGTTTTGAGCTTTATTGTATCTCGCATATACCTCACGAATAAGTCAACTTTTTTCTGATTTCTGATATTAAAACATTATTTAAGTCGTTTTTATACAGCGATGACTTCTATTTGTATTTATTTTACTCTCAAATGAAATACCGTTAGATTAGGTTATTTCACTCCAGTAGTCCCGTCGTATCGCACAGATACACAAGATATACAGAATAGTAATATTTTTATATAAATACCTGATTTTATAAAAAAAAAATACATTTCTATTCAAGTTTAAGTTAATTAACATGCAGTAGATCTCTGGACCAATTGTGATTGAGACACGAGATTCCCGGAAGTGTTTTTGTGTAAAGTTGTGTGATATGTCGGTTGGAAAGATGTTGCATTTCGAATGAAGTCCTATGGAGAACATGGAAGCGATAGAGTGTTTTATGTTAGTGACGTTCGATTGAGCTTTGATAACTCATTATAGGAATATGGGTTAAAAAGCCTTGTTTACCAAAATACACTTATTGGCCTTTTGTATTCTGATAATAATTTCCATTTTTAGGAAATTGTTTTGTGTTAAAAGATGAGTGATGACCCTTATATTTGAAATATTACCCCCTTTTATTTATGTGTCCTTCGACGTTCATAAAATGTCCCTGTTGACATTCCTTCTCCAATCAACTTCTTATCATATACACAATTTGTTTATCATTCGTAAACAATTAAACCTATTGCACTGTCCCAATACGTTTTTTTACAAATCTGTTCTACCACTACTTGGCCATTTCCTAATAAAGCTATGTCTTTGGCATAGGTGAGACGATTT